AAAATTAGTTATCAATCGCAGTTATATGATGATACTAAACCAAGTTTGCCATGTTTAGTATATCATATGACTCTTTCACCAAACGATCCTATACATTAGAATATGGCCTGTCACTGTAGGTACCGGTTTGTGGAGCTGTACTACAGACGGAGCGTGTCAACTCACAAGGGTCGACAGGTGCCAGCTCGTGTCGAAACAGTTGTTATATTCCTGCCAGATGTTTGGAGCTGTGTCCCGACCAGGCTGGGTGGGATAGTCTGACCGATGGATATCGTCGGCTATTGCACGGCAAAGATGACGCCTTCGCAAAATCCAATGAAACAGATAAAAGTGTTACCGAGTCTCCAGCAGATCTGCTGCTGCTGCTGCTGCCAGTGCTGGCTGCTGCTGCTGGTGTCGGTGTTACTGGGTGCTGCCAGCAAGGATGCCGATGCAGAGAGCAACAAATCTATCAACATGATTACAGTTAATATTATAAGTTTTTACACACACACAGATTTTAATCCTGGTCTTTCTTTTTTATCTCGCTGGTCGATCGAATAGCTGATGGAAGTGATGTATTTGGCTGATTGTAAATATATTCATGACATGATATTTTAGGTTTCTTCTGATCAACATTTTGTAGATCTAGATGGATTTGCGAAATAATCGAGGATGGGAGGAGGATAGAGGTGTTATGTAACAGATTTAAACTGTATTATCATTTAAATTTCAAGTCTAGATTTTCTTATGTAATTAACGTTTCGAAAAAGTTTGTTTTCGCCAGTAAATCCGATATGCTAATTTTATGCATTTTCTATCTTTGAAGTCGTTTGATACAAAAATTGAAATGTATGTGTATCAATACTATCAATATATAAAATTTAATCAATAATTTTATCATATAATTAACTTTCCGAAGAAGTTAACGTTTTTGTCATTAAATCCGATTTGCTATTGTTTTCTCGACGTCTCAAGTCATTATGAATCGTTCGACATGAGAATTTGAGTAAGAAGTGTGTTTTTGTGTGTGTATTTATGTATAAATTTAATATATTTTTTATATAAATAACGTTCCGAAAAAGTTTGCGTTAGCCAATAAATCCGATTTAATAATTTCATGTATTTTAGACGTTTCAGGTCGTTCTGATTCGTTTGATACAAAAATTGGTAATGATATGTATTTAAACAAACAATTTAATTTGATTTTTTTTATAATTGACTCTGAATATAATGTATTCTCGACGTCTCAAGTCGTTCTAAATCGTTGGATACTAAAATTAAATTGAGTGTATATATGCATGTGTATTTATACATATAAAAGTTAATAAGAATTTTTTTTAATATAAAATTAAAGTTCCGAAAAAGTTTGCGTTAGCCAGTAAATCCGATTTGATAATTTTATGTTCTGAATCGTTTAATGCGAAAGAGGTGTTTCTTTTTGTATAGCGAAGGAAAGGCATTTATTTTATTTCATCCCGTACTAGGTCTTTTGACTGGGTATGTCGGATTCAATACCGCCTGGGTATA